AAATGAAATCAGATCGTAATAACTTCCAATTCGTAAGTTTCGACGCCATAAATTATACCGTTGTTGTAATCTTGTACAATGGTTTAGAAAGTATTGTCGAATGAAAGAGAAGATAATTTCATTGAATTTTTTCACACATAGTTTTTAATTAATTAATAATTATATTAGAGAATTAAATCGGATGATATTGATATTTGAGATATTTAAAATTCGTACTGATACAGATAAAATGAGCCGAGTTTTAGAAATTCGAGAAATAATTGTATATACAAGCTTAGAAGAAATTAATTTGAAATAAAATTAACAAATACGACTATAATTTTTATCTATTTGAAATTATTGATAAGAAAAGAAAAAAGAACAAATGTGTAATAATTTGACTAAAGTTGAAAACAACTACGGAAATCTCAGTGTTGGAGTGAATTTTCTCAACGTACTTAAGTCTCGTCATCGTCGTCGAGTAAAAGTGAAAATAGAAAGGTCCTTAGGGAGTTGAAATGAAAGAGAGAGAGAGAGAGAGAGAGACAGAGGAAGAAAAATAGAAAAAGAAAATAAAAGAGAGAAAAAGAGGGAAAAAAAAGGAAAGATCGTCTTCCTTACCGACGACATGAAATATGAAGACGATGCCGTTTCTTCGCGTTGGCTCGACGCCACAAAAGGAAGCGTCACGGCAAATTAATCGGTCGACTACGAGCACGCGAGATGTGTGATTTAATAAAAAGCTTCCCCTTTTACTCGTACGCGCGATCGGGGGTGGAAAGAAAGATAGAAAGAGTGAAATGAAAGAGTGGGCAATGCCATCTCTTTCCCCCCCGTCCCCTTCGTCCCCCTATCGTGTGTAATAAGTTTAGTTCCAACGACGAAAAAAGCCATAAAACGCGACATGTAAGCTCAGCGTGATACCTCATATGACGATTCTCAAATTTCACGAATCGGCGTCAAACAAGAAGACAAAGAAAAGCCACTGTAACAAAAAATTCTCGGATATAATATTAAAGAATTTTCAATACCAAGTAAATATGTCGTCCTAGAAAAAAGGGTGTGCATAGTTTTATTTAATCCTATCGAGAATCGATCAAAATTTATTTTCTACATTTGGTAATAATTTTCATTAACTTTTAATCGTCTCGCGAATTTGTATTATTTTTATAATTATAAATAATATATAAATACATCTTGGGAGAGAAATGGCTTGATGAACAACAACAAAAATAAGAGTTAGTGAAATGTAATTTAGAAATAATTTATTAAGTAGAATACATAAACCCCCCATCCAGATCACTTTTACTGAAGTCTAACTGTAGATGTTTTCTACGTTAAACGATTGTTCCTCAAACAAGCGTGCTATAACGTGAGACGACAGGGGTAGTTTCGAGGTTTCGACGGAAGTAAAAATGTAGGAGGGAGGGTGATTTCGGTGTAAGAGTACCGGACTCCTGCAAGGGACGGCTAATTCCACTGTGATCACATCTGATCGATGTCCCGTAACTACATCGGTTGAAAAAGTATTGTCCCATTCTTACTTCGAACCAATCTTCTCGATAACAACTATTTCGCGTTAACGTCATCTAATATATTATTTTAATTGTTGTAAAATTGATACATTTATTTTTAATCAGGTAGATATATTATTAAATATCTAGGAGAGAGAGAGAAAGAGAAAATTTACCATAAAATGTATAAACTAAAATCTACTTAATAATTATTAGGCCATTTACTACATATATATATTTAAAATATAAACAAATATATAAATAATTTATTTCAAAAGGTATGAAATAGATGAATGGTTCTGAATTTTCGAAAATCGAACGATCTTAAATCGTACGTAGATGCACTAGCGACAAAATATTTCCAATGAACATAAGGTTTTCTGGACCCCCAGCCAGCATGATTCTTTTATTTTAGTTTTAGTTGAGGACCCACGCAATTTGACCCTCCGTTCCGTGGCCTCGAGTTTCGTCCATACGTCTATTTTCACTCGTTTCGAGGGACGAGGAAAATATTGAAAGAGTAAGAAAAAGAGAGAAAGATATATATATATATATATATATATATATATATATTATTGTGAAGGAAGTGATAAGAAGGCCACATATGGTCTGTTCACCCTTAGTTACGAAAAGAGGGAAAAACTTTGGATTCGCGTCAAAGGGATGTTGTCCCTGTATAAGTCAGTCTCGAGCCACAAATTTCATGGGACTTCCTCCTTCTTTTATCTTATCTCTTTTACCAGTAGATAACCATAGACAGATAAAAAGAGAATCACACACTGGTATCAAATGTGCACGATCTGACCATTCTTTAATTAAGTCTCCGTTTTCTTTCTTTATCTTTTTGTTTTTTCTCTCCCCCATCTTAAATGGGACATATTTCGCGATACCGATAAGAGGAATATCTTAATGTCTTTTTTCTTGATTAAGTGAGAAAGATTAATTGTTAGTTTTCAAAAGTCACATCATATTTATTTACTGCAATATAGATAATTTTCGTCAAACAAACGTATTCCATATTCAACGTTCTTACATTCTCGCGAATTTCTGAAACTTCTTAACATTCGGTACTCGTTCGCATATAATATTCTTTCAAGGGAGATCCTACTGTGATTTCGGACGATGCAATGCTTTGTCAAGGAAAAAGAAAAAAAAAATGAAAGAAATAGAGAAAAACAGCTCCTCTTTGGGTAAGAAAAAAAAGAAAAAAAGCAAGAGAAAAGGATCTCCTTTCTGATTCATTCTCGTGGACGAACGTTCTAGCTTGATATAACGATAAATTATTCGGATTATGAAATATACGTCGGAATCCTGAAGGATGTTAGGGTGATGCAAGAAGATTGAAGATTCATTTCAAACACGTGATATCACTCAGACGAATGATTTAGGAATGTTTTTTAATTCACTGTTAAATTAGTCTAAAAAACACTTTGATATTTTTCAAATATTTTTTACTACAAACGATCACACACAAATTGGAAAGAAAATATATTATGTATATTAAGCAAGACAATAGATTAAGAAAATATAGAATTAAAAAATAGGAAATAATTTGAAGGCGGGGGCGATCAAGAAAAAAATTAAACTAATTGATTCGAAGACATAGAAAAAAAAAAAGAAGAGGGAAAAAAGAAACTACTTTATATTCGTGGAACATCTTTTCTGATCTCCCCGCATTTTTATCGCATTTACCGCCGGGAAAAAAAAATATAAGAATATGTTTTATTTATATTTCATATTTTCCTCTCTCTCTCTTTCTTTTGTCTCTTTTTTATCTTTTTCTCTTCTTCTTCTTCTTTCTCTTTTGCTGATGGTGACCACAAAAAACACACATTCAGTGTACGAATACGTTCAGGGTGACCACGAAATATGGACTAGAGACCGGAAATCTTTCCCTCCTCCTTCTTTTCAGCCCTCTATCATTCTACAATTTTCTCTTTCCACCCTTACAATAGGGTAAGCTTGTCCACCCAATAAGGAAATACTTTGTCATTGATTTTATCGAATGTACATATTTACATTTTCGTTTTTCCTTTTTTATTGCGCCGAAAAGAAATTCAAATTTATAAAATATACACAAATTAAAATAATACTTTCTATATAAACGAAGATTTGTTGAAAAACATTAACAAAAGGACTATGCATGTAAGATGAAGAAGAAAATAAAAAGGAACACGTTGGGGAGGGTTGCGTGAAACGGTTTACTCGGACCGAATTTAATCTCGCATTCTAGGAACGTTCAAGAGGGGTTGTTACACACAATTTGCCACATTTTCTAGTAATGACTCCGATCCACCCTCCGTATGTTTTATGGGGATCGTTTTGGATATGCATAACTTACGGTCCAGTGGTCAAACTTATGAATTATATGATCGTCTTTAAGATTTCCTACATGAGACAAGAAATAAAACATTTTACGAGATCAGGAAACAATGTAACATCGAAAAAAAAGAAACTAAGCAGAGAAAAGAAAAAAAGATGGAGGAACAAATGATCAACGATTATAAAAATTAAATCAAAATAAAAGAAGAACGTTTTTCTCTTTCAACGTTGGTTCCATTCGCACTGGAGACATTATCGTTAAGATCGTTATCATAATCGTGTGAAAGTCCAGGAACGTAGGAAATTGCGTTTAAACTGAAACGTGAGTAGAAATTGGAATATAAACTTGAAGAATAATTTCATTACAAGTACGTGACCCACGGGGCCTGTTCACCCTAATATCTACGGCACTGTTTTGTCTTTCTAGTTTACGTCATAGACAAAAATGGTCTTATTTTTTCAAACGGGAAAACACACGATGATAATAACAATATTAACAATATGTTTTGATGTTTGATTAAATATGAGATATATTTACGTAAGTATTTACTTACTTGCAACGCAAAAGAATCCGTGGGAAGTTACGGATAATTTGATAAGGATTCATGCATTCGTGTCGAGAGATGTTCCCGAAGACGCGCGCGGCTAATATAACATTCCTTATTCCAGACACACGCACGCGATATGGGTTTTAAATTCTCTTACTCCTTTGATGTGACTACCGGCTCCACCAAAATCCAAGAGCTTGTATCCGAATTTGTCTTCTCTTCTTTATTTTATAATCCTTCGTAGCGTTAAGAAACATAAATCCCCGAAATAAAGCGGAATTTTTTCGAAAGACGCACGATCTTCTTGGTATCTTTTCAATGGTAGATAATCCAAAATGAACATTCTTATTTAATGCATTCTTATTTAATGCACTTGCATCAAAATCAAATAACCGTGAAAATAATCTTATAGTTTTTCGACGTTAGACGAAAGAATATCGATTATATTTGCCATACGTTATAGTGTTAATAAAATGAAAAATTCATGTAACAAATCTAATGTAAGATGCAAAAATAGGTACGGTACTGAATAATATTTTCAGTAAATAACCTATGACCAATAAGAAGCTTGCCATATAGTCACGTGATCATCGGTTCAAATAACAAAAACGATATCTACATATTTGTCTTTAACATTGCAATGGTTTCGTCTAACTTCATGTCGTGCTATTTAATTCCAGTAATTAGAATAATTTTCCAATAATTGAAAAATCTTATAAACACTTGAACAATAATAATAAGTTTTAATAATTGTTGATAATCGATTCCTCAAAGTATAATTTTTGTGTAATTTTTGACGCAACGTGTGTGGTGTTTGTTTACACGAAAAACGTGTCTGATTCGAGAACAGCGGCGCGATAAAACCGGATTATTATAAGTCTTTTATTTTAACCATATATTATATCGTTAATTTATATCACGTATTTATTTTTCATATAAATTAAAGATTAAGCGCTGATAACATAGAGAAAGTGAAGAATCAAAGAAAGTTAAAGTGTTACATATCATCTTTTTGTATTATATATTAAATAGAGGTTAGTTTTGAAATTTTTGATATTAAACTGTATGTACGTAAATGTTATCTATGGATATGTTGTTATAGAATGGATTCATCGAAATTCCAAATAGAAAAGGAAAATATTTCTATAAATTTGTGCAAGAATTCTTTCAGCGAAGACTTTGCTTCGCAAAGCAACGAAACATATACTGACCGCTGTGCATCTCCAGAACATCTTATCAAAAATGATCCAAGCAAAAGTACTAAAGATAAAGACTTACCAAAAGAGATGACAGATATCATTTTGGAAGAGTCATCGATACAAGAAAGCATGCCTGGTACAAGTAGTGATATATACTATGATTTTACTCAACGCTCTACCATTAAAAAACAAATAAAAAAAACTAGCATATACAAGCCTTCTGAAGAAACCTGCACAGAAAATGTTGAACATAATAAAGAAGTAAGTAAAATTAGAGCCAAATCTCCAACCTTTCATACTACCGGATTTAGATCAGCATCAAAAAAGCCCAAAGTATGTAAAGCAAATCCGCAAAGGAAATTTAAAAATGGTAAAGATAGGTAATATAAAACATTCACTCCGTCAATGTTCACTTCATCAACATCCAATCTACCATGAAAATATTGTTACAGAATGGATTCATTTAAATTCCAAATGGAAAAAGAAATTGAATTTATAGATTTATGCGAAGACTCTTTTAACAAAGATTCTGCTTCGCAAAGCGAAGAAACATATAATCATAGTTCATTTCTAGAACAGATTAATAAAGATGGTTTGACAACATCCACTCCAACAAAATCTATTTCCTCAGCATTCACTCTATCAACATTCAATTTACCTGCTGCTTGGAAAAATTACAAAGATCAATGCATATTATTAAATGAAATGAATAATGAGTATCTCATTGCCGGTGTTAAAGTGACCTTTCCCGTTGAGCCATATGATGCTCAAAAATCTGTTATGAGAATAGTAAGTTGATATTGATATCTTGATATTGATATCTTTTCAATTTATAAAATAACAATTCAATTAATATAATTACTATTTTTGTCTTAGGTCATTAAAAATTGCACGAATTCGACTAATTGTTTGATTGAAAGTCCTACCGGAAGCGGGAAAACCTTAGCTCTTCTTTGCAGCACATTGGCTTGGCAAATCAGATTTGTTGGTGAGTCAACATTCTAAGCGCTAATATTCTTAACAAAAAATGAAACTAATTTTTCCTATTCTTAACTATTTGAAATAGAAATTTCTTTAATATTTGATTAAATTTTACAAATTTCATTAACTTTTACTTGTACAATTTCAATACAACATTTACAATTTTCATTTAATAATTTTATTAACATAATTATTAAATATACCATAGAAAATTGCTTTACATTTGAATTAGAAAAGACAAGAGTATAATTAAAAAGATGTAGACTCATAATTGTCTTGTCAATTAATAAGCTCCTTCGTTCTTGAGCAAAGAAAACTATTGTCCCATTAGGTAGGCATTTTCCTTCTCTTTCTCTCTCTCTCTCATATAAACTTGAATTATTAAACCATTTGTTTTTGCTGTTAATGGCGACCCTTATGTACCAACTCTTAGTAATTTCGAGTTTGCCTATATCGTGCATGCATGCCACTAATTGTTGTCTGATTTCGCGCAATTTCTAAATAATTATAGTAGACTTCATTTAAAGATATGCGTCATGGTACCAGTTCGTGAACATCACCACAAAGTATACTATACTTATTGAATTTTTCTCATTCAATTATTTACTAGCATTTGTTAATCGATTAAAGTAATGATATTTTATTTAATAATTCCTCTTTTTTATTATTATTATTATTTCACGTCGATACGTAATCTACCCCAATATTACAATATTCTATAAATTTATTATGCGTTTATATTGTTTTTTTTATACGTACCAAGTGCCTTATTTTAAATGATATGGCCAAATACATAGAGTTTGTTTTATTATTTATTTATGTTAGATAATATTAAAATAGTTTACAGGAAAGAAGTTATATACACATGTAGAATATTTGTAATAGTATAGAATAGATGAAAATCATGTAAACGATACGTGATCGAACCAACGAAATCGCTATGGTGCAATAATGGTTCGAAATTTAATCTGTCGAACACGCAGCGTTCACAACGAGGAGGAGTCTGGAGCATTGCAAACATTCGGGAGGCAAACGATCGCGTGCCATTTCGAGGCTCACGTCAAATTAAACGCTCCCCGACGTTAACGTCAAATTTGCGTGTTTTACTCTCTCTTCCTCCTATTTGCAATGTGTTTTTTTTTTTTTCTATCTTTTTTTATTTATATATATACATATATCGAGATCTAAATCGCAGTCATTCAGTGAATTTCTCGTATCAAACAATTATTTTTATTTATTAAATTATTTAGATATTGTTTTCATACTAATTATATATATTAAATTAGTCAGTATTGTCAAACACACAATAGTGAAACTTCCTTTTAAAAAAATGTATTAGATGATATAATGTTTATTAAGAGTGGCGAAGGGGGGGGGGCGAAGAATATGATGTTTAAGTATACAAGGAAACATTATAAAATGTAAAATAAATATCGAAGAAAAAGATAATAAATGTTAATATAAGACGATAGATATAAATTAGAAAAAAGTATGATAGGTACTGGCTGGTACCTACCTACACTTAAATACAATTTATTTTCATTTCCTGGAAGTTGACATTGAAATATATACACCTATTTTTGTGGTGAATGATACAATTTTGATAATTAGATAAACGAGAGTGGAAATAGGGAAATAAGGAGGAAAGAGCACCCTCGTTCGTGGTACGACCGATTGTAGGCATAGGTACTTAGGTATAACTGTGTCACCATAGCTCGAGGCCGCGTTATCCTTCTCCTTTTTTCTTTCTTTCTTTCTTTCTTTTTTTTTTCTTCCTTTTTTTTTTTTATTTTTTTTTTTTATTTTTACCAGCTTATAATTTCTTTTATGCTTTAAAACCCGGCCACCGTCACGCTCTGTCTGAGGTCGAGTGGTACTGCTAGCCGCGAAATTGTAAACTTAGGCAAACGGGGAGACGACGATGACGACGTCGACGACGACTACGACGACGTCAACGTCGACGATGTTTGAGAGGTCGCATAAATTAGGTGCTCGAGGAAGAATGGAAAATCTTTCTTTCCCATCCGCGAGACTCTGGTAGTTTAATCGATAAGATTCTCGCTCGACGAGTAGGGGTGTCGCGAGATTTATCGCTTACTTTCCTCCTCCTCCTCCTCCTCTTCTTCCTTTTGCCCCTTCCTCTTTCTACCCACCATCATCCCCTTTCTGTAAAAAGAGGCCACGAGTCCTTACTCTCCTTTTTTCCTACTCAAATTAATTCGAATCCAATTAGTTCCCTTTCCTTCTTGAATAATAATCCTACCGTTTGACATTTTATGTAATACGATAAGAGAGAAAGAAAGAGAGAGAGAGAGAGAGAGAGAGAGAGTATAACTTATTTGTAGATTCCTGTTTTATCAGCTCTTATGGTAGAAAATTTTTGTAATTTCTTAATTCGAAGAAAAAGAATTGAAATTTTTGTCTAAATATCTTTTAATATAAATTTTGTAATAAACTTTTCGGCCCGCGCGCGAAATATTATCGATTCTAATTGGAAAAAGATTTTCATGTTGTAATTGTATATTTATGTATATAAAAAAAAAGAAATAAAGAGAAACAATTCGCGTGTATAAATTCGATAACAAATGAGAGACATTGTTAAAAAGCTCGTGACGAATTTAGCTGATGGTAGTTGGCTCTAGCTACAATAGTAAGGGAAACGACGACATCGAGAGGGTAAGAGGAATAAATTTGGAAAGTTTATCGCGGGATCGCATGCTCGCTAATGTCACTTTATTATTACTGGCGAACATCGTTGTCGTCGTCGTTGTCGTCGTCGTTGTCGTCGTCTTAGTTGTCGTCTTTGTCGAGTGAAGACGTCGGGAAGGACGAAGAGAAAGAGAAGAAAGGCCGTTTTACCTGGTGCCGCTCTCGCGAGGGAGGAGAACTTCGAAATATAACCGGTAGCAAAAAGTAGATAGGGGGAGGGAGTCGGGGGAGGGGGAGGGAGTGCCCATTGTACGACCAAGGGAACTTGGAAAGTCATAATAATTATCGGTGAACGTGGAATTATACATTGTCTCCTATAGTCTTCGAGTCGTCGCCATTTTGTAGCTTCAGCATGCAATCGCAAATGCTTCTCTGGTCTATCTTTAATATGTTATTATTTATTAATTTTCTATATTATTTCGTTTCTTTCTTATTATATTTTTATTATTATTTAAAAATTAATTTCTTCTTTTTTTTTATTAGAAGATAGAAAATATTCCAAGCACTTGACCATTTTTTTTGTTTGTTTGTTAATTCACCTAAGGAATAACACACATTTTCTATCGGTATTCCATACTCTCTCTCTCTCTCTCTCTCTCTATAGGTATATCGGATCGATTTATAAATTATTGGCCCCCATTAACTATCGTCTCCCACATAATCAATTATTCGCTGGGCGTCGCTTGTTCGGCAATTTTCCTAGCTGCGGTTTATCGTCGCGAAACTTCATAAACGAGCTGTTCAACTAATATACGTGCGCGCATAAACACAGACACACACATATTCATACGCACACGTATACTAGAGTATACCAATCTTTACTCTATTTCTCTCTTCATGTTAATTTAACGCTATTATCGGATGATAAAATATCTCTCATGAGAGAGATAGTGATAGAGATAGATTGAGAGAGAGGGATGAAAGAGAAACAAAATAAAAACGAAGTAAAGGATAGTAGAGACAGAGAGGGAGAGAGAAAAAATTGAACAGAAAGAAAGAGGGAGGGAGGGAGTGAGAGAGAGAGAGAGAGAGAGAGAGAGAGAGAGAGAGAGAGTCTCTCTTATTGTAAAGAAAAGCGTATGCGTATATAGGTGGAAGACGTGAGATCCGTTGGACCCGCATGCGGACCTTATTGTGTCGCAAAAGAGCGTATACGGTAGGTACCTTAATGTCGGCATGGATGAAAGCGTGGGCCCTCCTTTGTCTTTTCCTTCGCGAAGCTGCCACAGCAAGTAACCGTGCTCTGCGGGTAGCCCTGCACCATTCCAGGGCTACTGTTCTTCGATCTCTTTCTCTTTCTCTCTCTCTCTCTCTCTCTTTCTCTTTCTTCTCTCTTTCTCTATATTTCTTTCTCTTTCTTTTGGATAGTTTCGCGAATCTTTCGTACGAATTCCGTTAAAGGAACATTTAAGCTGATTGTGAGAAAAGAATTTCTTGGAATGCTAATGCGAGAGATTGATTTATTTATTTTCATTCATTATTATTGCGGCATGTTTGATTTAGTAATTGTAATTTAAAAAAAAAATATATATATATATTGAAAATAATGCTAACTGGATCCCCTCGACTCATTCATAATCGATACATTGTCATTTAAAATGGGGTTATAGTTGAAAATAAGATATATACTATATTATAGAATGGTATTAGTGTAAAAAATTATAGTATCAATGTTTAAATAGAGAAATAAATAAAGAAAGAAAGAGAGAGAGGGGAGATAAAGATAGTGGGAATGGTCCAAGTTAAGAAAGGAAAGATAAGAGACCCCCCCAAAGTCACGCTGGGCGCCGCAGCTTCCCAACCACTTCTGAACTTCTCTCTCGGGTGGTCCAGAACGTTCTCCAGCTCCTTCGTGATCCTTCTTTTATACGGACCCCTCTCTTCTTCCTTCTCCTCCTCCTCCTTTTCCTCCTCTTCTTCCCTATCTCTTTTCCTTCGAGATCCTTTGATCGAGCAGTAGCAACCAGCAATGGGACTTCCTTTCCGCGAACGCATTTTCAAAGTTCCATTCTTATCTTTCTCCTATACGCGTCGATGCATCTCATGGGGATTACTCACGATACGTTCTTATAAGAAAAGTTACGATATTTACGATTTTATATAATATATTTTATATCATTTTTCAATTAGGATTGTAATATTTTTCTTGGCAAACGTTTCAGGATTACAGAAAAAAAAAAAAGATACAGGAAAACGGTATTCTTACTTTTCATCCAATTGGCAATATTTACGTTAATCGATTCTCTCTTTCTTTTTTTTTTGGGGCGTAAACAAATTGGTCAATTTGAAAATGTTTTT